CCCCCCCCTTTCTCCCCTACTGGACATTTACAGTACTGCACTGTATATTCGGGTGTGTGGTTCAGTCTCCAGTCTCAGTGTGTGTGTGTGTGTGTGTGTGTGTGTGTGTGTGTGTGTGTGTGTGTGTGTGTGTTTGCGGTCGAGAGTTACTCCCAGCAGATTATGTCAGTGGCTGATTGAACACGGATGTCTGTAAGTGCTCTATTTGACTAAAGCTCTGTTCTGGTAAATATTCAAGGCTCATTTGATGATAGTCGGTGTTATCTCGCCTGTGTTGACCTGTATTTTGCTTTGTTGTCGTGTATTTATGCTTATTAAGATTTGTGTAGAAATGTGCAATAGTGAACTCTGACGACTGTCTGAACTGAACATGTTCCAGTTAAAGTGAATATATTTCCCTGTTTGTTGGAGTTTTACTATAACAGAGAGATATCGAGAGGAGCAGTCGCCTGTAAAGTCACTGAACTTACTCAGTCTGCCTTCTGCTGTTCCTGCTCCACCTGTAAACCTTTGGTTTAGTAAAGACTGGGACAGGATAGTCATTATTATTCCCATTATTATACTGTAGACAGGAGCTGAGGAGACTGCAGGGGGGTCTGAGTGCATCAGGTGCATCCGGTCTCCACTGATCTGCTGTGCTTGAATGTTAAAGCGGCCCTGCTGTCATCTGTCTGTCTCTCACTGATATTATACATATATCATGATTATATCTTCAACTGATGATTGGATTTACACATCGACACTGTTGAGCTTCATAAAGAGCTGCAGCTGTAATAAAGCTGTAATGACGCGTTATGAAGCCGTCCTGCATCACTGTGCTTTTGTAAATATTTCTGTAATTTGCCTGAAATAAACAAAAAGCATGTCTATCACGTGACTACTGTACAGCGCTCGCGTGTTGTTATGAATTATTAATGACGTCAGTGTTTGTGGTGTTTTGGACACGCCCCCTGCAGCGTCACAGTAGACGTCACGTGTTTTCTCCTCAGTGAGCGAAACCGAGAGAACGGAGAGAGACGCGGATCATGGAGGAGTGTGCCCTGCTGCTGCTGCTGCTCGGGGCCGCCGGTGAGTGTGTGTGTGTGTGTGTTAGTGTGCGTGTGTCTGAGTGTGTATCTGTGTTGAGTCTCCCGCTGTCCGCCGTTCTGGAGCAGCGCTTCCGGTCAGAGCAGCTGGAGTTCCGCTCACTCAGACTGAAACTGATCATCCCGATTATCTTCATGTCGATGTAAGTCATCGATATCTCTGATGATGATGATGATGATGATTACTGATTCTGCCTTCAGACGGCAGGAGGGGAATACCGCGGGGCTTCAGCTGTCACGCGCTGGAACAAAGAGATCAAAGCAGATTTACACAACTTTCACTTCCGCCGCGACTGAACACTAACACAAACTACACACATCAACACACACACACATCAGCACACTACACTAGGGTTGGGCATCTAAGCTATAATGCCGATCCGATACGCATCTCGATACAAAGAATACGATCCGATATATTAGCGATACATTTGTGACATATTGCGATGCAACACGATACGATTCACACCCATATCACGATACGATGCGATATTTCAGCACTAACTAATTAGATCAAGTTTATGAGATGATGTGAAAGAGGATGCTGTGCCATTGAATGAGTTTGATTATTTATAAACCAAGCAAAACCAAGACTTTTTTTTACAAACTGGCTCTTCTCTCAGAGCCAGAGTGTCAGTTTACAGTAGAGGGCCATTTTAGAACATATAGCACATAATATTTAAGTATTTTCAAGATAAACAGAATGTATAAGTGCAATATATATTAAAATATATATATATTTGCACTCTTTCAACATAAATAAATTTAGCATTGCACAACAAGAATTGTGATTTAACTTTTCAACTATGAAAACAAGTTTTACAAAGATATTTTGCCACTGATTATTCAAAACTTAAGGTGGTGAACTAGCAGTGTTATGCTGCTTTGAAACATCACTGTCACTGTAAACAACAGGCTAATAAAAATATAACAAACCAGCAATCTTCTTGCTGTGAGGTGGTCAAACTACCCACTGTGCCACCGTGACACCCAATTATTTTTATCATTATTATTATTAATATTATTATTATTATTAAATAAAAATTAACAGGAGGAGGTGTTTAACCTTCGTTCTCCGTGACACTAGGCTGAATATCTTTGCAGATGAACAATGCAATAGCATCCGTTATTGGCGTAGAGCGAGCAGAACTGTTGCGCATGGAAAAAAAACTTGCAATGCTTTTCTTACCACTTTTGGAGCTGGTTGAAGCAGTGCGAAAGCCGGGGATGCAGAAACACTGGAAGATGCTTTCACAACAACACCGAGGCGCCGCTTCAAGTGAGATTTCAGATTACTCGTACTGCCCACGTATTTTACAGATGCGCGGCACATTTTGCAAATTGCATCTGTCCTGTCATGTCGTCCATCCTTAAATCCATAATGTTGCTTGCCATACTTTAGATTTAAAACTCAGTGGGGAATAAAATGTTTGTTTTGCTTCTCGCGCTTTCTGAGGGCGCTCCACTAGCTTCATCCGCACACCTGATACACTGAGTTGTAGTGTGTGCACATCCGCAAATCCGTTGCTAAGGCTTACTTTATGTAGGTCGATTAAATTATGCGCCAAAACAGGTTGACAACACTTGTTAATAAATAAAAAATACATTCTATATTAAAAATATAAGCTGTATCTCGGAAAAATCGATGCATCTCGCAAAAACCGATGCATCTCGATTTGCTTCCAAAATTTCATTCATCCTCTGCTGCTCAACCGATGCACTCGCATCGTGCACGCGAATGACCGCGTATCGATACATATCGGTTAATCTTCCCATCCCTACACTACACACATCTACACACTACACACACCTACACACTACACACACTACATACTACAGTTCTTCTAATGTTCTGATTTGATGACCGAGTCGATCATTATGAGTCGATCATTATTCTGATATTAATGTGTCGTGTGTGGATGCATGAGCAGAGGCTGTGGAGCTTTATTACTGACGACAGAACCCTGAACAGCCCTGCTGACCTGCTGCACTCACACCGGACCAGAACCGCTCCTCATCAGCTCTTTATCTTAATCAATATTTATACGATCATGCTTCTGGTTCAGGATGAGTCAGCAAGACTATATACTGCATTACTTAACTATTAATAAGAGAACAGCGGGCGGCACGGGGGCTCAGTGGCATCACAGCCAGAAGGTCTCTGGTTTGAGTCTCGGCTGGGTCAGTTGGTGTTTCTGTGTGGAGTTTGCATGTTCTCCCTGTGTTGGTGTGGGTTTCCTCCGGGTTCTCCGGGTTCCTCCACAGTCCAAACACATGCGCTGTAGGGGAACTGATCAACTACACTGGCCGCAGTGTGTGAGTGTGTGTGTGTGAGTGTGTGTTATGGTTATGGTATGAGGTCTGTTGTGAGCCCAGTGTCGGGTTCTTCTGCTTGTTTTTCTCCTCATTTTGACTCATTATTGCTGAACACAACACTATATGTCTATAAAAAGCTTCTGGATGTAGGAGTTTGCCTCTTCAGGAATGAACATGCAGAATCCTCAGCTCAAACACACACACACACACACACACACTCCTGAGCGCGCGCATGCCTCTGCTGGCAGATTAGAAAGCACCGCATTACATCACTGAGTGACCCGACACTGACCATCACACTCACACTGAACACCCTATGATGAACACATGCACACACACACACACACGCACACACTGTGAACACAGTCGTTATCAGCTGTGTTTATGATCAGTCATTCAGCCAATCACCACCTGAGCCAGTGTGAGATCAGCAGTGTATGATGCAGTCCATCCATCTCTGCTGGAGACACACCGCTCTGCACGCCGCTCTGCACACCGCTCTGCACACCGCTCTGCACACCGCTCTGGTCATTGTCCTCAGCTCCTGAATGCGGACCGTCGCTCCTCTGTGTGCTGTAGGCCTTCAGTGTGGCCAGATGCACTTTTATTTCTGAAATATCAGCAACATTTCGACATTATTCACAGTGTAAAGGCGATCATTAAAGACTCATCATCATGACTTGCAGCTTTAGACACCAAAAAATGTGCTGCACCTCAATCTGTGTGTGTGTGTGTGTGTGTGTGTGTGTGTGTGTGTGTGTGTGTGTTCCAGCATCCACAGGTCTGAGTCCTCCACAGAACCTCGGGCTTCAGACGCTCAACACCCAGTATGTGCTGCACTGGGACTGGCCTGGAAACCAGAGCGCTGTAAACCAGAGCGTCCGCTTCACCGCTCAGTACATGTCGTAAGAGCCACACACACACACACACACACACACACACACACACACTCTCTCCTTCAGGAGTGTTTCCACTGCTCAGGTAGACAGCAGAGCTCCTCCTCAGTCTTCATCTGTCCAGATATCTGAGTGGTCCTGTGGTGCCGTCCTGTCCTGAAGTTCCTGATCCTCTAATCAGCACATGTATAGGCAGATGGTGATGGTGGCAGCTTAGTCAACTCGTCAGTTAATTACAGTGATCGTCTCATTAATACAGTACAGCAGGCCGGTCCAAACTCGGTCCTGGAGAGTTTAGCTCCATCTTCCTCCAACACACCTGCCCGGGCGTCTCTAGTGTACCCGGAAAGAGCTTGATCTGCTGCTTCAGGTGTGTTTAACTGGGGTTGGAGCTAGACTCTGCAGGACACCGGCCCTCCAGGACTGAGTTTGGACCCCCCTGTACTATAGGACAGATGATGTAGAGGAACAGTGCTCCTGTTCTCGCTCCACTGATCTTCAGTGTCGGTGTTGGATGAGCGCTTCACTCGGTTCTGTTCCTCCACAGAGAGTTCCGGTCACGGCGAGCGGAGCACATGCAGAAGTGGCTGACGGTGTGTGAGGATGTGGAGGAGCAGCGCTGCGACTTCACCCACGCCGGCCTCTTCTACTTGGGCATCTACCTGCTGCGCGTCAGGGCAAACACCCGGGAGCAGGCCTCCAACTGGACCCAGATCAGCTTCTGCCCTGATAAACACGGTGAGGATACGCTCTCTACATCTGCTCTAGATCCTGACGCCTGACTCCAGATCTGTCCTCCTCTAGATCCTGACGTCTGTCCTTCTCTCCCGCAGCGGCTCTAGGTCCTCCGTCCAGTGTGACTCTGCGTTCGGTTCGTGGAGTTCTGGAGATGGTCATGGCTGATCCTCTGAGCAGCACCAATGAGTCCATGAAGACGCTGGTGCAGGACATGTACTACCTGATCCAGTACTGGAGACAGGCTGATGACACTCGGGTACGTCTGCTTCTGGAGTCCTGCGCTGGTCCTGGAGCACAGCTGTAGGTCCGAGGTGTTCAGGCCAGATCTGTGTGCTGGAGCGGGCAACACCTGACCGCTGTCCTCCACACATACTGGGGTTATGAGCATGTGTAGGGTCAGGAAGCGTCCACATATCTGCTGAGTCCATCATCTGAGCTGTAGAGCGCCGGGAGAGCGTCCGCAGAGACACACTGCAGCGCCGCTGAGGATTGTGGGTTTACAGCAGTTTGACGGATGAATATGAGTCTAGCAGAGATGCTGTTGATGTTCACACACTACAGCACACACACACACACACACTACAGCACACACACACACACACACTACAGCACACACACACTACAGCACACACACACTTCAGCACACACACACACTACAGCACACACACACCTCAGCACACACACACACTACAGTTTGACACAGGATGTGGCAGTGGACCGCCCCTCTACAGCGCTCTGACTCCACTGATTGGTCAGGATCAGGGGTTCTGCTTGGGCTTTATTTGAGGATGTTCATTGGTGGAGCTGAAGCAACGGCCCACAATGCACCTGGCTGAAGGTGACCCCGTCTGTCCGGCTGCTGTAAACCCGTCTGGGGTTAGCTTGTGTCGAAATGATGCCTCAGATGTCTGATAATCACACACACACACACACACACAGGCGTGCTCTGCAGTCAGTGTAGAGCGCAGCACACACAGCTGAGCGGCTGCACTGATCCAAACACACAAACCAGAGCACTTACACACAGGAAGAGGATGTGTGCGTGTGTGCGTGTGTGTGTTCCTCTTCTGAGAACCGCAGCACACCATGTTCATGTGTTGATCTCTGTGTAATACAGACTGTGGCGTGAGTGTACAGTGTGTGCTCATCATATGTGTGTGTGTGTTTGTGTGTGTGTGTGTGTGTGTGTGTGTGTGTGTGTGCAGCAGGCTAAAGAGCTGCGCACCCCGAATAACCTGGTGGTTCTGCCGGATCTGGCCAGATGGAGCGTGTACTGCGTGAGGGTCCAGAGCCGCTACGACTTCGAGAACAAGAGCAGCGTGTTCAGCGACACACACTGCGCACAGACAGAAGGTCAGAGGTCACACACACACTTCCACCTGTGCATTTAGAGCGGTGTGTGTGACAGAGGCCGGTGTGTGTGTGTTTCAGGCCAGACGGCGGTGTGGCTGATCCTGCTGTACTTCCTGTTGGCGCTGGTGCTGGTGTTCCTGCTGGTGCTGCTGCTGTTCCTCTGCTCCTACAGAACCTTCCAGACCTTCAAGAGCGTCTGCAGACCCAGCGCACAGCTGCCCGCACACATCCAGGAGGTGCGCACTGTCCCTCTGTGTGTGTGTGTGTGTGTGTGTGTGTGTGTGTGTGTGTGTGTGTGTGTGTGTAGTGGAGCCAGCACTGAGCCCTGAGGTGCTCCACTGATGCAGATGAACACTGTACAGAAGAGCCCTCAGTAGTGCACAGCAGGTTCCTTAGCGTAAATAGACAGCTCTGCCTGAGCCTCTCTAGAGGAGACCATGGCTGCGTCTGAAACCGCCTACTACTCAGTAGACACTGCATGTGAAGTGAACACCCCTCAGCAGTTAGTAAAGTGCGCTCTATACAGTATGAATGTGAGCAGTATGGATGGAATTTGGACGTACTATATCCGCCATTTTGTCATGGTCACATGACCTACCTGTGTGAGTAGCGTCGCATCACTCCCATTCCTGAAATCTCTCGTGGGGCATGATGGGATGCGCACTGCAGGATCTGGCCGGCAGTAGTGCGTCATCCGGGAACTTCTCGCAGACTGATTTGACTATTCTGTGAATTCAGACACACTCGCCTCACACACTGAGTTCAGCACACTGTATAGTCTGGAAGTGTGCGGTTTCAGACGCAGCCCGGGGCGTTTCTCACACGTTGCATTATGGGTAACTGCATCTGCACACGCAGGAACACTCGTGCTCAGTCTCTAGCCTAGCTGGTGTGCTGCGCTGCGGGCGGTGTGTATCTCACTCTCTCTCTCTCTCTGTGTGTGTGTGTGTGTGTGTGCAGCTCTGGCTCTCTGACGCAGACACACCTCAGATCCTGCTGTCTAAGGAGTGTGTGTGCGAGCATATGGACGTGGCCCTGGTCTGCGCGGTGGACACACACATCCCAGAGGAGCCTCAGGACAGCGGCGGCAGCAGCAGCGACACACACTCCAGCGGAGACTCCGGCGTCTACAGCGAGGAGGACAGCGCAACACACACACACTCACACTCCCTCTCTCTGAAGAACACACACACACATGATCACACACTCCTGCTTACAGACACACTCTGATGTACACACACACACTCTGATGGACGCACACCTGCTCTCACACACACACACACACACTGAAGAAGACCTCTCTCTCTCTCTCTGTCTATTATGTGTGTGTGTGTTACTTTAATAATGTGAACTTAAAGAGAGAGAGAGATTCACCCCTACATCTACAGCACTGATCCAGGACAGCTCTGCAGGACTGAAGGCTACACACACACACACACACACACACACACACACACACACACACACACACACACTCGCTTTCTCTTGTGCTTTGAGGAGTTCAAGCTACAGTACAGGTTCCTCATGGCTCGACTCTGGGCCCGCTGCTGTACTCATTCTCACTCACACACACACACACACACACACACACACACACACACACACACACACACACACACACACACACACACACACACACACACACACACACACACACTCTTCTGTTGGCTGATCATGCTGCTGTATTCCTCTGCTGTTGTGTTGTTCAGGACGCCTCTGAGCTGAATAAAGTCAGTATTCCTGCAGCGCCTCTGTGTCTACAGTTGATCAGCACATCCAGGTCTCCATTATAGACAGTGTGTGTGTGAGTGTTTCTGGATAACACACAGGCTGATCCGCTCCAGCAGGGTCAGTATGAGCAGTGGTCCGTGCCTCCAGCACTGTGAGGACGTTACCTGATGAAGCTGCCCTCATGACCTCCACACAGGTGAACACCGCTCAGGTGGGCTGGAGCTGCTGAAGGCCTGTGGTGTCTCACTGTCCGGCTGTGCGCTTCTCTCCTGACCTTGAACAATATTAGGGTTGAATGGCAGAGATGCTGGATTAAGATGATGTGGGCTGGAGTCGAGATCCTGACTGGATGAATCGTGCAGCTCTACTGGAGCGTCAGTCAAAGCCCAGAAAGATGCAGTGACCGGCCACAGATCTGCACTGTAGCGCACGCATTAAAGCTCAGTCAAATGAACGAGTGTTAGCGTTAAGAGTATCTACAGTATAATCCAGATATACGGTATAATCTCCAAAACAGAGACAAGCTGCACCTGCAGAAGACAAAACCCAGAAATACAGGAATCATCTACAGTCTGCAGCTCATCTCTTTACACTGATTGTTTCTGTTCTCCTCAGTGTTGCCAGATGTGCTATCTATCCAAAACCCGCCGAAATCCAAAAACAACCGGCCAGAAATCTGAAGGCTATCTTGAGCAGTTCTAAAGATGAGGATGTGGATGGGAGGGTGGGGGTAATGGGCTGTGGTGTGCGCCTTTGCAAAACCGCCCAAATTTTCCCTACACCCATTTTTTACCCTCACTATTAAATTCAAAACCACCCAATCTGGCAACACCGGTCCTACTCATACTTCAGTCTCTCATTAAATCTCCCGACCAATCAAATGCTCTCTAGTATCTGACATTCCCCACCCCCTTTTTTTCATTGGCTGTTCATCTGATGAGCTTGAGTTCAACCATTCTCTGGCAGAGCTGTGAGAAAACAACATACTATTGGCTGATTATAAAAGGGGGAGGAGCTATTCTATGCTCCGCCCTCTCTTCATGCATCAGCCAAACATTGAATAAAACTGCAGATTTCAGATCTCCTCACTGGACCGTGAAGATCTCCTGTTTGGCTTGTGAAGCGCTGTAGTGTCCAGCAGCGGCTCTGTGCTCAGCCGGTAGAGCAGTCTTCACCGTCAGACCAGTGTGTGTGCAGGAGATGTCAGCAGAATCACACTCAGAGTCCACACCGACACACTCACCACATTTATTCACAGGATAATCTCACATCTGCAGCGGGAGATGGAGGAACATCTGATTACAGCACACGACACACACCAGAGGAAACCACAACATTACAGCAGTGTCAGGATATACAGCTGAGGACACACACACACACACACACACACACACACACACACACACACACACACATGTTTCCTCAACACATTTCACACACAAATGACAACAGTCAAACTTCGCCCGTTCACACAGTTATGTGTGTGTGTGTGTGTGTGTGTGTGTGTGTGTGCAGAAACTCCTGGGCTCTGTTCTTCACACTAGAATATGTGATGATGTATGTTGTTCTGACTATTTTGCACACTTTAGCTGCTAATATACAATATGGACGTGTAGACACAAACGCGGACACTGGACAGCTGCAGGACGCTTCAGACAGTCTTCTGCCTCTTCTGTGCTTGTTAAGGAATAACTGCGTCATTTCTGGGAGTCATGCACAGGTGACGTTAAGCTACTATGCAGATCATTTAAAGGTAAAAGTCAACTGCTAAACACTGGACTCAGGCAGAAAGTGTGTGAACAGACCACGACTACTGTGGAGAGTTCCTGAAGCTGTTTTCAAGAGTTCAGGATCTCAGAGTGAACGGATGAACGGCAGAGTTATCAGCTAGTCTAGTGTGTCTGTGGTGTAGATGCTGAGTTGTGATGAACACTGGGCTGATGCGGCCGCAGATTACAGCACTGTCCTGTGTTTACAGTATTCACACACACTGAGACCACCGTATACATCTGCATTCAGCCCACACGAAGAAGAGGAATCCTGTGATTCAGGTCAGAACACTGGAGAACACGACCGTACAGAGCATCTACATCTAAACAAACAGCATAAACCAAATCAAGCAGCAGCAAAGGACAGGCTCAGTCTCAGAAACATCCTCTGCAATCAAACTCTACACAACACATTTTACATTAATATAAATATTTCAACAGCATATGATCAAAACATGACCCACACTAGAGGACGAGCTCACACACTGCAGGAAACCACACATATTACGGGTGACTGGATTAATTATTGCTGATTATCATGTCAGAGCTCCCTGCGGGACTGCAGAGCCCGGGTCACAGCGCTGCCTTCTGAGGGTCACCCAAACTACCCTAAGAGTTTGACCTTACTCCAGAATAGAGCTGATTCTGTTCAGTGGCAGGAGTGCTGATGTGTGGAGCTCAGGGCGACACCTGGGAGATGGTCGGAGTCAAGAGGTACACCTGGGAGATGGTCAAAGTTGAGAGCTACATCTGTGAGATGGTCAGAGTCTAGGGGTCAGAGTCAAGGGCTACACCTGTGAGATGAGCAGAGTCAAGGGTTACACCTGAGCTACACCTGTGAGATGATCTGCATGTTGCAGCTGGGCGAGCGGGACTGCGGGCCCCGCATCGGCTCCGGCTCCTCTGGCAGGCTGCGGTTGGAGAGTCTGCGGGTGTCGGGGCTCCGGGGCTCTACCGGAGCTGTGCGGGCAGAGCTGCTGCTGCTGCTGCGGGGCAGACCTGCACCCTGCCGACTCCTCACTCGGCTCTTCTTACTAGCACACAGACGGGACGCGGCGTTCCCTCGACTGCTGCTGGACGCCCCGGACGAGAAGCCCTCATCTGGATCATTCAGCGCCAAACACTCCTCGTCCCCGCTCAGCTGATCAGCATCTGACACACAGACAGACATGATGGAGGAGGAATCAATCCCTGAAGCCAAGATCAACAGAGCACCTGTTCCCCTTCAGATGTGCTGAAACATCCTAGAATCAGTGTGTTTAGCGGTGCTTATGCAAACATTATTCGTTCAAAGTAACGTAAAGGGCTTAATTCACCTAAAACTGAAAGTCCCTACAGTCAGAAGAACTGCAAACGTGAAGCTCCAAGAACACTTCACCGCACCAAAGGGGTACTTACCTGTTCTCCTCCGCATCAGCGTGTGTGTTTACTGCAGGCTCTGCCATCAACACAACACAAGCAGTGTATTGCCTGTAGTAAACACACACCCTGATATGACTGATATGGGTGAACTAAGAGTTACTCACAGATTTGTGTCTCACTGAAGTGTTGTTGGAGCTCAGTATGAATACCACATGCAGAGTTTTGAGGATGTGTCTGGACTTTGAGCATCTCTGGACCCCTGCTGTCTCTGGAGAATGAGGAGCTTCAGGATTTCAGCTAAAATATCTTCAATATTGTCTGAAGATGAACAAAGGACTCAGTGAATCAGCATATGAGCGAGTAACTAATGACCTTCAGTTTCGGGTGAACGAGCCCTTTAAAATGAGTTTTTACACATTTCCACAAGACCACCAGAAGTTAAATAAAGCAGATATGAAGAACAGAGGGAATCCAGTCAGAGTGTGTAGACGAGGATAATGAACAGATGAGTGAGCATTCACACTGTGGCAGAGCTGCTGAAGCATTGGGGAGGACAGGGATCATGCACACGTGTTTCAGACATGCTAGACCTCCCTACTCCACACACACACCTGCTGTCCGACACACGCTAGAGTGTGTATGACGGACTCTCCGACCATAAACGCTGAATCATACAGGTGAGGAACTTACATCTGGTCTGATGCTCAGTGGACGCAGCATGGTTTCCAGCAGGTGTTCACGTTCTCTTGTGTACATCACGTCTCTTTATGAGCACTCGTGTTGGGTTTGGTCAAGACCCTTCTCTCTTATTTTGTCAGGATTTACACCAGTTTCAAGTAAGGAACCCATATTACAGGGCTTACACGCATCAGGACAGGAAGCCAATGAAAAGGATGTAGATGACATTATTCCCATCATGATGTGTTTTACTCCATCAGAAAGAAGTTTGAATAGCTTGCTTTACGCCGCTCTCTCATTAAACACTGTATAGCCCTGTTTAGACCCATGTTTATCTTCATCCAGATGTCACTGGACTGACAAAAGCACATCTGAATACCAGGAGTAAACAGGTCCTCAACGTGACTGGTGTAAAGAAGATTTCCAGTCCAGTCAATTAAACAATAGAAAGTAGATTAATGTAGCTTAATTAATACTATAGCAAAGAATAAGTCACAGGTATCACCAACATGCTTAGTGAAACAGTCAATGACTGAGGTGAAATGACAAGCTCGGGATCAAACTGCTGTCCATGCAGGTCAATGCAAAGCCGACTGATAAGAGGAGCTGTTGGAAAGCCTCTTACAGACACTAAGGCACGTGAATGAGGACAGCGATCAGGCCAAACACTGGATCCAACATTTCATTAATAACTGGAGGAATGATGAAGAGTGTTAAAGTTAAAGAAATTAAAATAATGGCTTTACCAAACACCTAGAATCGCTGACATCTTGCAACTGCACTTAGATCCAGCTTTTGCAAGAAGCTTTTTCAGCTGTGAACTGAATAGCTTTCACCAGTGTTCATATGTTTTAACTGCTCTTAGTGTGTGCAGGAGGCTTCTCAGCGAGGACCCTGATGCTCCCTCGTGTGTCTCCAGCTGGAGGTTCGAGGTTTTCTGGGGAGGTTCATTCCAGGGTAGCAGAGGTGCTAAAAGGAAGCGAGACCATTGGGTGAGTCTAAAGGGAAAAGCCCGCCTCCACCACTGGACTCCACCCCCTGCCTACCCTCATAAGCGACTGGGAGAGAGCCCTGCCCTCCTGGCTGGTGATTGGCTGCTGGTTTCCGGGGGGTGAGTCGGCTGGGGCAGACGGTGAGGCTGATTTCGGCATCGCTCGAGAAGTCAAAACAATCTGGGATGTGACAGAACAGGGTAAGTGTGCTTCTTAGTGTCTGTGCCCTACAGGAAGAGTGAGACAACACCAGCAGAGTGCAGTATGTCCACAGAGTGTTGTGAGGAAGACGAGGCACGTGCTGCATCACACAACACTGTCATCCACACACACCATGGCCGTTACTTTCAGGGTTCTCACATTCTCATGATGGCTTGATCAATACAAAGCACTGCTCTGCCGTCTACATCTTATCATGACGATCATGAGGACTATTATACTGTGGGAATTGGTATTATGAATGGCAGTTTCCTGCAACCCATTCTACACTCCACCAGGAATTACAGTAACTGTAACGGTCAACAGTATCCGACTGGCTGAACAACACATTACCTTAAGAATAACAGAATGACTCATCACAGAAAATTGGTGCATTTTCAGGCTTGCCAAAAAACAGACCTCAGCCAACCCCACACTCCACCATATCTCCACCATACAGCTGTACACTTGGAGTGTTTGTGGACCACATTACTAAAACTTTATACTGTATAACATCAAGACTACTGCAGTGCTCTCCTGGCCTCAAAAACAACGCAATCCAGCCACTGCAGCTGATCCAGAATCAGCAATAAGAGCGGTCTTTAACCAACCAAACAAGAGGCCATGTCACACCATCACTCCTCAGTCTACACTGGCCGTCATTCCATCATTTCCTATTCAGCTCAGTCCCTTTATTAATCACGGGTCGCCTTCAGGTAGGGGATAGTTCTCTCACTGAGGGCTTATGGGCTGAACAGCAATGCAGGATATCTGACCGTCTTGGAGTCCCTGTAAGGCGTGCTAGAAGGACTTATAGTGGGGTACTGCAACACCCATGTGGGCAACAACATTTATACCTGAGAGAGGCATGACTGGGAAGAAGGCCTGCCCGATCTGAACCTGAGAGGTGTTTTGCTGTTGGATTTCTTTGCTATTTGCAGTTTGTCCTTAACAAACACCATGTGTCCATCAGTGCACACGACACCAGGACACTCTTTGTGCTGATATCATCTGGTCTTTGACTATATTTTGGACACTCAGGTAAAGAGAAGAGCAGAGCTGATAACTGATCATCACCTGATGGAAAGATGATCTGGTGTCAGAGGAGTAGGCCGGGCAGACCTGGCAGGCCCTTATGTTATTTTTAAGGGTCTGCTAGGAACATCTGGATGATCTATATGACATTGAGAGAGAGTCATCCATGCTCTCCACTGTCAACAAGGCTATAAGGAGCTGTAGCTGTAAGGCTGGTCATGGCAGTAGTCCACGAATATGGTGGTGAACACTAGAAGAACAGGATTTTGTCAAGCTGAAAGAGTCCGACCAGACCGGGTTGGCTTGTGGGACTCTAAAGGCAGCTGATGGGTACTGACAGCTCAAGCATGCTACAGCCCAGGTGGCCATGGAAGATAAAACCCAGGCCTGGAAAGAGTTCAGCGGGACCATGGAAGAACACTAAAGGCCTCAAAGAGATTCTGGCAAACCATAAGACACCTCAGGATGGGGAAGCAGTTCCACACCAACACTGTTTACAGCGGAAGTGTGGGCCGTTGATCTCGACTGAGGATGTTGTCAGTTGGTGGATGGAAGATTTTAAGGATCTACTCAATCCCACTGACACACCGTTCTTTGAGAAAGCAGAGATGGGGGTGAAGGATGGACTCACCCATCGCCCAAACTGAGGTCACAGAGGTAGTCTGAAAGCTCCACAGATACAGCAGGGTGGATCTACCTGTGCACCTCAAGTCTCTGTATGGGGTGGGGCTGTTTTGGCTGACAAGCGTCTACAACATTGCACAGAGGTTGGAAACAGCACCTCTGGACTGGGCAACTGGGGTTCTCATATTTAAGCTTGACCAGAGGATGTGTACTATATCCAACTATAGTGGAATCACACTCCTCAGCCTCCCTGGAAAAGCCTGGACCCACTCTATGCCCTCTCTAGGGTGAAGACACTATCAACATTTTTGGTTGAACTGTGCCTTTACCTCTTCAGAACACAAAAGATAATTCATGAAATGGAAACTCAATATTCACACATATAAGAGCCGAACCTACAATACAGGCTACAAGTTTCACCTCCACATGTCTTAACCTGTAGCTCATGACAGTGCCCTCAATAACCCTGCTCTGTGTCTGTCCGTTGCTCAGGAGGGTCTGATACTGTTCACTATTAATCACCAGAATAAATAAGTACTGATCACGTGTGTGTGTGTGTGTGTGTGTGTGTGTGCAGCCTCACCCTCTCTCTGCCAGCGTAGTCTGCGGATGGATGCGGCCGTGATGCTGCAGTGTGTGATGCGGCTGGCGGTCGGGGTCACCTCCACCTGCAGGAGCCGCCTGCTGCCCGCCGAGCCCCCGGGCGCACTGACCGGCAAAGAGCTCCGCATGGCATTGCCCAGCTGAGGAGACAGAGCATGGTCAGAGGAGCACACACACACACGCATGCACTCACTCACTCACACACACACACACACACACACACACACACACACACACACTGAGCAGATGGAGACGTACCAGCAGAGGCTCCGAGTACAGCTCCAGCTCCGCCCTGTAGAGGATATCATCCAGAGCCTCCCTGCCTGCGTCCCACTCGCCGTTAAATCTGCCACACACACACACACACACACACACACACACAGTTCACTCACAGCTCAGTTAAGGCTCTGATAGTGCCCCCTGGTGGCCAGTTTTCAGGAGGGATAAGGCAGTTCTCCTCGCTGCGCTGGCCTGACCTATTCCAGAAGCTGGAGTGTTTAGGTGTGTTTGCCCATGTTCACTCACGGCTGGCTGTGTTGGTGTGTTGATCTCGTGTTATTGTGTAATGTTGTTGTGTTGGTGTTGCTCACATGGCATGATAGACAGCGGTCAGCATCTGCACCATGAACTCCGGGTCCAGCATCACACGCAGACCAGGAGCCGACCACGCCTTCAGCTGCTGCCGGGGGAACCCGCACACACACAGCCTGACACACACACACACACACACACACACATCATTAACATACATCACACACACACACACAATGGAGTGTGATGTAGATAACACAGTATGAGGACAGGCCTCACCGCGAGCTCATCCTGCAGACGGCCCGGTACGAGGAGGAGGGCATGTAGACCACCACTGAGTTATAGCACAGCATCAGGAAGCACAGCACCTCAAACCTGCACACACACACACACACAGTGAAGATGTTCTGCGCACGAGCGTGTGTGTGTCGGTATATGACTGCAGGGATGATGACCTGTTCTGCGCAGTGAAGGTCTCTCTCTGCGGGTGCAGGCCGCTGTACACCACCCTGATCAGGTCATGCTGACAAAGAGCGCCCTCAGTCAGAGCCATGGAGCCCAGGCTGGACGGCTGCGCACACACACACACGCACACACACACACACACACACACACACACATACACACAACACAGACATAGTGCCAGGCGGAGTGAGGGTGTGTCTGCAGTGGCTGGTTGTAAAGGTGTCTCTGGTGTCATCAGCCTACCCTCAACCAACACAGCCCTCTCTACAGAAACACCAGCGCAGCGACAGCTTTACATGTAGTGTATATCTGCTGCAGACAGGCCGAGCGTGCCGCCGCCACCGCCGCTGTGCACAGGAGAGCTTCTGCTGCGGGGAGAGCGGACACATCTGTACAGCTCTACAGGGCTCATGAGGACAGTGCTGCGGTGTTGATGATGATGTCCTGCCTGACCTCTGAATACCAAACCTGTCAATCACTCACCAAAGAAGGCGGAGCTCCAGGACACGCCCACTGACTGTATAATCTCCACTGACCAATGGCAGCTCAGAGGTGTTAAGGAGCCAGAACTAACCTGAGTGAGCTGAGGAGTGTGTGTGTGTGCGTGTGTGTGTGTTTGTGTGTGTGTGTGCGTGTGTGTGTGTGTACTGTACCTCGTGGTATATGGAGGGCTTGGACAGAGACGGGATCATGAAGGACAGCAGCTTACTGTTCCCATCCTTATCCACGATCTCCTGCAAATCACCAGTGGAGGAGGTTAGGTCTGGTGTGTGTGTGTGTGTGTGTGTGAGTGTGTGTACGTGTTTTTGTGACATATCAGGACACCAATCTGTATAGTGGCATGGGTATGACACAGGTATTACAGAAAGAGGTGAAATATGGGGACATTGGTGACGTCCTCATTTCTCCAAAAGCTTCTAAATCCCACAGGATGAGTTTAATCAGAGAGTGACGCTGTACAGTCTCCTGTGATGGTTGGGTTTAGGGGTGGGGTGAGGGCAATATGATATAGTGTGAACAGTATTAAATGTATGGAAACCTTTGTAATGTCCCCACTTTTCACCAAAACAAATGTGTGTGTGTGTGTGTGTGTGTGTGTGATGCGCACCAGGTTGTAGATGCCCAGCAGCAGGGCCTGTACGCTCCCGCTGGCGTCTGCAGCTCCTCTGCGCAGGAAAACCCACAGCAGCTCCGGCAGAAACTGCAGAGTGAAGCAGCGCAGACGCTCCTCACTGCTGCGGTACAGCTCGAACAGCTGATGACACACCGGCTCCAGCAGCTGCACACACATTATATATATATATACATATACAGAGATAACACGCACACAACACACACACAACACACACACACACACACACACAGACGTGCATGGCTCTGCTCACCTCACTGTGAGGGTTCTGGATGACGGAGTACAGTGCTGGAACCAGAGTCTCCCTCTGCTGGAGGACTGAGGCATAACCACACCGCTGCGCTTCTGACAGCGCCTGCACACACACACAGAACACTGTAAAACACACACACACACACACACTCCTAACACTGTACAACACACTTCAGAGAAGATGTAATGAATGATATTAAAAACCCACCTTATATTCTGAAAGCCAGTCCTGCACTATAGCGCTCTCTGTAGCCATCACCAGTACCTGACACACACACACACGCACAAGCACACACACAGACACACATACACACACACAGAATGACATATATTAACCCTGTGCTCTACTGTCCACATTGAACACAACAGCTCAGAGATAATTAAATAAATGAGTTCTTCACTGAGTGTGTATGGGTGTTTCCCAGTACTGGGTTGCATTAGCAAGGGCATCCACTGTGCAAAACATATGCTGGAATAGTTGGGGTTCATTCTGCTGTGGATGAAAGTGAAGAGCAGGGGGTGGGGGGTGGCCCCTAATGATATATCTTGGAGCCCCCAAAATGTGTGGCCCTTAGAATTTTCCTAACCCCTCCCCCCAGCGGCACCCCTGCTCCATCCGCTTGTGTGTGACGTCACGCGGAGCGGCTTCCGGGTCCAAGCGCTCAATTCAACTGAATGTGGACTCATGAAACGGTAATAAATGTTTACAAAGCGATTTAAGGCTGTCGAAAGTCACGATGGCAGAATATATGTCCAGCCTAATATCCGACGGCCAGAAAGTGATTCATTTTTTATAAATTGTTAAATTTTTGGTATTTGTTAAGCAGCAAGCCCAGAGATTGTTGTGAACACTATGAGTTTATGTTAAATTCACTTTAATGTGTGACAGGAATAAAACGCCATCATAAACGAATGATTTCTCCACTCAAATGAATGGCAGCTTGGACCCGGAAACAGTATTACACACGTCACCACCACGTCACCACTTAACAAGCGGATAGCAGAGGAGCAGCCGCCCAGTGTTCCGCACGCTCCTCCTCCTCCTCCTCCTCCTCCGTGTGGATCATGACTACAGCACCGTCACTGAATCTAACGCTACACCCTCTCGGCCTGTGATGAAGCACATCAACACTGTTCACAGCAGCAGTTATGCTCTCTACAACACACACACACACACACACACATGAACACAACACACACAAACGGAGCATCATGACTGGGTTTACTCACGGTGTGTGTGTGTCAGACACTCTTCATCTCTGCAGGGTTCGTCCGCCGGCCTGAAACACACAGGAGGATTCCTCAGCAGAGAGACACGAGTGAGGAAGAGCATGAGGAGGAGGAGCTGAACGCTGCTGCGCTGTGTGTGTGTGTGTGTGTGTGTGTGTGTAGTGTAAGGGGTAACCCACAGGTCTCCTGCATGACTCCTGGAGGGCCGCAGCTCTGCAGTTTTGCTCCAACCCAAATCTAACACAGCTGATCCAGCAGTGTCCAGCGGTCTCGAGCACTTGATGAGCTGATCAGCTGCGCTAGATTAGTGTAGAGCAAAACTGCAGAGCTGCGGCCCTCCAGGCACGGGGGAGAGAGAGAGAGAGACCAATAAAAACATCAGTGATGCACTTACACACACACACACACACACACACACACACACACACACACACACACACACATCTAGATTATTAGAGTTGAATCATTGTAATTATACTGATTATGGCTGTTTTATGCTGAATGTTGACGGTTAAATGTGCAGTTTATTCTGATTTATCATTATTTTATTGATTTGTATGAATAATGACACATTGATTACACAGTAATATGATGCAGTGAATAATAATGCTGTATATTGACTAATGCTGTTTATCATTTATATTTTATTTAATTGTCATATATTAATATCCTCTTTACTTCTGCTGTTTACTTTATCATATACATAATAACACAGCGGCGACCCGATAATCCACATTCAGGACACAACGACACATCAAAAGCTCTTACGTCACACACACACACACACACACACACACACACACACACACACACACACACATCCCCTCATCCTCCTCCTCCTCCTCCGCATCTGTGAGAGAGTAAAGCGGCTGTGTCTGCCTCCGTGTCTTCATCGGCTCAGTCTGCATATTCCTGTGCTCTAGTTAGTAAGGTTACTGCAGAACTCACCTAGTTAGTGTTCGAGCAGACGATCAGCTGGACCAGCCGCTGCACAGCAGTGACGACACGCGCCGCTTTCTGCGCATGGCCGGAAGTACGAACATCCTAACAGAATAAAAGCACGAAGATGCAGCGACAAATCTCCGAGAGCGCGGCTGAATTAAAACCAGCAAGTCATTTAAATTTATCCCGACTGCTTTGTAAATGCATTGCGTCGATCTTATTGTGAAGAAATTATCCTTTTAAATGGTTTTTATCTGATGTTTAATTTAAATCTGATCTTCCAGTAACTCCGCCCCTCCCGCGCCCTCATCTGCATACACGTAAAAGCCTTTTCTCAGCAGAAGAACACGTGCTTTCAATAATACACACATCACACATATAATTATGAATGCCAACATGAATATAAATTATATTTTTAAATGAATATAAATGTATATATATACTTCTAGCCTGTGTGTGTGTGTGTGTGTGTCATTATTAATTAACTGTTTATAAATGTCCAGAATGGATGAAGCACATAGACATTCATTCATTCATTTTTTCAGCTTAGTCATCCTATTAATCTGGGTTCACCACAGCAGAATGAACCGCCAACTTATCCAGCATATGTATTACGCAGCGGATGCCCTTCCAGCTGCTACCTATCACTGGGAAACACCCATACACACTCACACACTACAACCAATGCAGTTGATCAGTTCCCCTATAGCGCATGTTTGGACTGGGTGAAGCCGGAGCACCCGGAGGAAACCCACACCAACACCGGGCAAGCTGAGCTTCTCATATTTCCTCTATTGTGATGTGCATACAGCGATGATGATGACAAGCTCGAGGAGCTACCTGTACAGGTGGAATCTGCATATTCATTTCAACACACTGATAGACCCGCCCTAATGGATGAATGGCCCCGCCCTAACTGATAGCAACACCCTAAATGACTGATAGCCCCGCCCAAAATGACACGTGCGTGTGTGTGTGTGTTTGTGTGTGTGTGTTATTGTTATACTGTCTACTGCTCCTCATTTTAGTGTACACTGTGTGCAGTGGAAGCGGTGTCCCAGTGTCCTCACTGCGCTCAGCATCATCATCACTAGTGAGTGCACTCATCCTCATCCATCTGCACATCAGAGTAAATCACGTGTTGTATTCATTAAAATTAACAACAGCTTCATATTTAACAATGATGCCGAACATGTGAATTACCCTAATTAAGACTTTATAAGTCTCATTTTGAGTTAGAAAAGAGGCAAAGTTGAATATTTTAATAAATAGAAACATCACGTGAGTGTAGAAAGAGTGACCTCAGACTCACTACAATGATTATATTAATAACAGAGGCTAAACAGACTTGAAGCGGGATTCCCCAGTGCTGGAGCTGGAGAAGTGAAGAGAGGACATGGCAAACTCCCTCAAACACCGAGTCCGATGATGGAGCACAGGCAGTCTGATTCCCGCACTGGACTCTGCTCTGGGTTTGCTCTGCTACCTGTGGCTCGTCATTTGGACAATTTTGCGCTGAAACGAGACAATAACGGTAAACGGTGTTGTGTGTGTGTGTGTGTGTGTGTGTGTGTGTGTGTGCGCTTATTAAACGCGAGCGCTGTTATCTTTTTCCGGACAGCGCGCTGACCCAGAGGAGCCCCGAACCGGACTGACTTGTGTGTCCGCCGTGGGATGGAGCTACGCCCCCTCCTCCTTATGGCTCCGCCCACACAATAGGCTCCGCCCAGACTCAGCACTGACCCAGACTCAGTGCGCTTCATCATCCGCCATCATCATCATCGTCACCGTGAACAATAGAGATCCGCTGCGGCCCGCGCTGCTCTCGGGATTATCGGCGGAAAATAACGATGATCGACGGCGTCGAGCGGGCGCAGAACGACTGAAGCGGACGGAGGAATCACGGCATCGCGTTTTAGTCGACGGACGGCGTGAAAGATGGCGAACGACTCTCCCGCGAAGAGCCTGGTGGAGATCGACCTGGCGGCGCTGCGCGTGAGTGTGGCCGCGGGAGGAGCGCGGAGCCCGGGGAGCGCAGCAGGGAGCGCCCGCTTATTGTTCCGCGGCCCTTTGTCTCCGCGGCCGCTCCCGTGGGCCTCAGCCTGATCATATCCATAACCATAACCGTAACGTTAATCATAATCATGCCCCTATCTCACTGCTCCCGCACTGACCGACCGCCGTCTGTGTGTTTCAGGACCCGGCTGGCATTTTCGAGCTGGTGGAAGTGGTCGGCAATGGCACCTACGGACAAGTGTACAAGGTCGGTGTGCTTTTACGGTGTTCACTTTCAGCTTGACGGTACTTCGTAAAGCGCTCGGTGAGCGTGTCGTGTCGGTGTAATAATGCCCGTTAACGGGGAGTTTTCACATCACACAGAGAGGTCTAGCCCTGCTGATGGGTGTGAACTTCTGCGCATGCGCAGACGCACTCAATGCGACAAACATACATTGATTACAGCCCGGAGATGAAGCGGCACACGAGCCTGCTTTATACAGGGGTAAATACAGCACTGAGGAAGAGTTCCGGTGTACACACTGCACTTATACTGCGAACACAGCGCTATATCAACTGCTGTATGTGTGTGTGTGTGTGTGTGTGTGTGTGTGTGTGTGTGTGTGTGTGTGTGTGTGTGTGTGTGTGTGGCTTTACTCTTCTGGGTTCTGCTCCATCATCAGCTCAGACTCTGCCAGTGCTGTTCACTTGACATCAGGCCAGTATCAGTTCAGTTCAGGCTGATGGGTGATGTGTTCGTTTCCTCATTGTTCACTGGTTAGACTGGTCCTGCTGCTCGGCAGATTACTGCTCTTTAAGCCACTTTACAGCATCATCTGCCGTCTGATGGAGCCTTAAAGGGGCAGAGCACAGACACAGCGCCGTCCTGCTCCTCCAGCAGCACACACTCTCTCCTGTAGGGCTGTATAATGGAGGTCTTCAGTGAGTGAGTGTGATGAGGTCTGTGGTGAAGAACTCTTGATGACGGTCAGCTCTCCAGTACAGCACGCCACACAGCCGCTCTCAGGCCATGTTTACACCACTACGGTTTACTTTTAAAGCACATGAGTTCTGCTACGGTTACTCCGGCGTGTTGGAGCGCTGAAAACGGAGTGTTTTGGAGGCGCTGAGGAGGCCGCTTTAGTGTGACAGCGCTGCTGCTGTGTGTCCGTGTGGAAACAGACATCTGAACATGGAGGCGGGGCTGCAGACATTCTGCTCTCTGATTGGGGCTTTCCTCACACAGCTCAGTCCTGCATCCTCTCCTGCAGTTCACACTTCACAAGTCCCATATGGAAAACAAACAGCAGAGGACACGTCGGCTAAATCTCCAGAGGGAGCAGTGCAGTGTATGAGCTGATCACGTCCCCTGCAGACGACACTGCTTCACATGACGTGAGGAGCGGCCTATTCTCATTCTGACATGAGCAACTGAACAGACACTGATCATGCGGAGGCGTCGCGTAGCGGCAGATTAATATGAGCCTCATCTCCACTGTGTGCATGTTCATAACAGAACACAGCCGATAACGTCACGGCCTCCGCTCAGTCTCGGTGAGAACACGACACACAGCCCGTCTGCTGAAGATCAGGTCCATCATCCGTAATGGCCAGGAGAACAGCACAGCGCTCCATAGGGTTACACGTCATGGGAAATAAAGGCGAGCGTCCGGCACTGTGCAGAACACGCTTACACACATCAATATAAGAACTGATCTGAGCTCAGCCAAAACACCTGAGCTGAGAACAAGAACAGACTGAGCAGAGTCGGGAACATGATGTTAGAGAGAGACGAAGAGACGAGTTCAACATCACCATTAACCAGACAGTGAGAGGAGATCCAGCCGGAGATCCGGAATCAACCAAATGGAGCCGCATCTGTGTAAAGAGGTCCCCGCACAGTCTGACAGGACACAGAAACACACGGCAGAGCTTCAGCATCAGGGGCCTCATGTACGAAGACTTGCGTGGAAATCTTACTAAAACATTGCGTACGCACAAAGCTGTAAATGTGCGTACGCAGAAAAAAATTCAGATGTATGAAACACTGCGTACGCCAAATCTCACGCATATTCTTTTGTACATCCGAATGAACGTGAAACTGAGCGCAACATGCACGAGCGCAAAACCCCTCCCTGCCTCCTCCCCCGTATGAATATGCTAATGACTATGCTAATGGAAAAACCCAACGAAAAAGCAACGGCAAAATCAAACAAGAAGAGAAACTTTGAACAGAATGTGAATTGGAGGTGCTGCTTTCGGAGGTAGACCGGAGAAAAGCGGTGTTATTTGCAAGTTTGTTCTCCGGAATTAACAACAAAAGAAAAAAATAGAGTGGGAGAGTTTAGCTGATACGGTTAACACAGTTGGGTCTGAACATCGCACTGAGTGCATTTAAAAAAGAAATAGTGTGGTTTATATCTGTAAAATGTTGCAGTAACCCTTACCAGTCTCAGTGGCGCACCTCATAAGAAGCATGTGATCATGTACTGACACGATTGAGCACACACTCGGTTCGAATCCAGCGTCTGATGAATTCTTTCTTCTTTTTTTCCCCGCTACATATCAGATTTTGCCCACTATTTATCACGAGAAAGACAAGTAGGAATCATTAATAAGTTTGTGCATCATATTTTATTTGCACATTTATTGAATGGAAAGTTCTGATTCACGCATGCAAATTCATCTTCAGATAGTGTCTTTATAGCAATGTGCGTGCGGTAGAAGGCTCAGATTACATTGGGAAAACAGGCGACCGCTGCAAATTGTGCTTTAATGTTTAGCTGGTCAACTGTATGGTATGGAAATCTTACATACCTACTATATGAACCCGTCTCTTACAGCTGCCATTGCAAGGCTCAGACACTTTGTAGAGAAGAATTTAACACAACTGCCTCTAGGAGTCGCCAATGGAAATAAAACAGACACGCACAAAAAATGTGCGTACGCCTGCCAGAAAGCTGCCGTGAAGCTGCGCAAATTCCCACGTTCAGTTCATTGTTAGTAAATCCAAACGTGAGCAATTCTGAGCGTGAAACCTGGCGTACGCAAAGTTTTTGTGCGTACGCAGCGT